GAAACTGATCCTGTTCTCCAGCTTCACTTCCTTGTCCGACAGCACCGAGCTCTCCTGGTCCAGCGCCAGCGCCTTCTGGGGAGACCAGCCCAGCAGGGCCGTGTCACACAGGAAGGCCATGGGGATGCCCCAGCTCCATCACAGCCCCTCACTGCACCCAAGGGGCCCCTGCCCCCCGCCGACCGTACCTGCTCATTGCCCACCAGGTAGACCTTGATGTCCAGCAGGTGGAAGCCGCGCTTCTCGCAGATCCCAGCCAGCATGTCACGCACAGAGAGGCCAGGCCGCACCGCAGCCAGCGAGGCTGTGCCATCGGGCAGGTACACGCAGCAGTACTTCATGGGCTCGGCCCCACCCAGGCTCTGCCAGGGGCCCTGTGGGGCAGGAGGTGAGTGGACAGGCAGGGGCGGGCGGGGATGGGCAGGGGCCACGGCCAGGGCACTCACCTCTGGGCGGGAGCTGGGCCCCGAGCTGGGGAGGCTGCTGCTGGAGGAGGACAGGAAGCCCAGGTCCAGGCTGGCGGAGGAGTTGAGGGAGCCCTGGGACTCGCGCCACAGGCCCGTGCCATCCCCCCCATCTAGGAAGCACAGACACAGCGTGTTGGGCTGGGGACGAGGCCCCAGGGGTCACAGCCACGGTGCTGCCAGGGTCAGCGCCAGCTCAGGGCTCGCTCACCTGCCCATGAGGGCTCTCTCCGCTCCCCCTTCTGGAAGGAGCGCCGGGGGCTGCGGGCCGCACTGGCACCGCTTCCTGCTGCCTCCACGCCCAGCGGCAGCGACTTGCCCGGCTTCAGCTTCGTCTTCTGGAGAAACCGGGACTGGCCTCAGCCCTGCAGCACGGGGGCTGCCCTCCGCCCAGCACCGCCCCCCCACGGGGCTGGGGGCTCACCTTGCTGAGGTCCAGCGTGGGGCTGCCACTGCGCGGGTGGGGCCGCAGGTCGGGCAGAGGCAGCCCCCCGCTCTCGGCCTTGGCGCAGGCCTGGTACAGCGGGGACTTGACAAAGCGGGCGTAGCTGTCGAACTTCATCAGGTTGAAGATCTGAGCCAGAGGCAGGGCCGGTGAGAGTCCCCTGGGCGGGAGGGCTACGTCCACCCTGGCAGCCAGCCCCGGCCATGGGGTGCAAGGCTGCCCTCCCAGCCCACAGCCCGGCACAGCCCCACATGGCAGGGCCCGGCCCAGGCCTCCAGAGTGGGGGTGTGGGCGGGCGCGGCCATGCCCCACGCGTTGGGGGAGCAGGTGGGCAGAGCTGCGCTCACCTGTAGCTGCTGAAGCTGGAACATGTCAGGGGTGGGGGTGGCCAGCACGTCCTCCCCGATCCAGGCCTGCCGGTCGATGTTGACAGGGCTGACGGCGTGGCTGGACAGGAACTCATCGTAGATGCGCCGTGCATCCCGGGCCAGCTACCGGTGCCAGGGGAGCTTGGGTGAGTCCCCCCAACATGCCTGCTCTGTGCATGGGGCACAGGTCACCCCACACCACAGTCCTGCTCTGCAATCATGTCTGCCCTGCCATGCCAGGCCCCCACCATACTGCCCCGGGCTCCCTTGGAGGTGCTGCCCTCCCACAGACCAGTCTCGGTGCTGTGCCTGGGGCAGCCCATGAGCAGGGGTCTCTCCTGCACTTTGGCAATGCCCAGGCCCCTGGGCATAGTGACCCCAGCCCCAGCCAAGGTGCAGCCATGGGGCAAGGCGGGCTGCACTATGCCTGGTACCTGCTGGGCATTGCTGGCAGGGATCTGCTGGAACCGCTCACACGCCTGCCAGAAGTAGACGTTCTCAGCACTGAACTCCTTCTTCAGGAACTCCTAGGGCAAGAGGGGACATGCCAGCAGCCATGGGGGGAGCTCGGCACTGGGGCACCCAGGTAGAGGCACATGGCAGCCAAGCACCTGTGTCCAGCCCTGGGGAGATGTCAGGCTCTGGGCACAATGCCCACAGGCTGCCAACCCCAGGGTAGCCCAGGCAGGGGTTCACATCTGGCTAAAGCTGCATGCTCCAGCCCGGAACCTCACAGCCCCAGCTGTGGAGCCCAGCTCAGGTGCCTGGGGGCGGCTGATCCCATGCTGGATGGGCTGCCAGGCTACAGGCCCCTTGAGTCCCCTGGCAGGGACTGGCGACGCCCAGCGAGGCTCTGCGGGGAGCGCTGGCTGCACAGAGGCCTCAAGGATCCCTCCTCCCAGGGGACACGGACAGGATGGGCTCATCCTGCCCAGCAGCCTCAGACTCCAGGCTGAACCCAGGGCCAGCGGCCCTCCTGCAATGCCAGACAGCACGTGACCAGGCCGTGGGGGAGGGAGGAGGCACTGGGCACAGCAGCCTGAGGAGGCCCCAGCAGCTGGGCAGGGGCCAGGTGCGGTGACAGGGGAGACCGGCCGTGGCAGCAAGGGCTGGAGGCGGCAGGGGAGGGGGCTCGCAGCACTCACGGTGAAGTAGGCGAGGCCCACGCGGTCCTGCAGCAGTGCCTCGAAGGACTCGGCCCAGCTGGCCACGGGCCCCGGAGCGGTGCCCGGGGAGCTGGGCAAGCTGTCCACGCTCTGACTGCTGCCCCGGGCCCGGGAGGCGTTTAGCTCTGTGACAGAGAGACATCAGCTCCAGCCAGGTGCCACGTGGGTGCTGCAGCCTCCCTGCAACCTAGGGCACCCGTGGCAGAGGACCACTGGGACAGGCACCATCCTGCCAGGCCCCCTCCCCCATCTGTCTGGGCTGGAGTCTGCAGCAGCTTGTGCTGATGCCCCTGTCTGCACTGGTTGCTCGAGCACCGCACCCGACTGGCTCCTGCCAGCCCCTAGGGATGTGCGGGGACTTGCTGGACAGTGCCTGGGAGCGCCATGGAGCCAGGGCCAGGAGGGGCCTCACTGAGCTGGGTCAGTCTCAGGCACCTGTGGGCACAGAGTGGGCAGCAACACCGGCCAAAGCCTTGCAGCTGGCAGAGCACGGTGCAGCGACCACCACCTGCCCACGAGCTCGAGCGCAGCTCCCAGCAGCAGTGGGGGTAGGACCCTGGCCTAGGGGGCACTGGGGGCAGGAGCCAGTTGGAGCTTCAGCATATGCCAGGAGCTCCGCGAGGGGCCCTCGTGCACTACAGAAACCTGGGGCCTGCCTGGGGGAGGCTTCACGCGGGCTCCTGGGGCCTGGCATGGGCCCACACTGCGGAGGCTGGCACCAGCACAGCCTCCCAGGACTGCTCCCCAGAGCGGTGCCAGCCCTCAAGCCAGGACCTGCAGCCAGTCGCACTCACCTCCAACAGACGTGGCCAAGCCCTGCAAAACCAGAGAGGGGAGGTCAGAAGGGGCAGCTGGACCCTGCCATTGCAGTGCAGACAGCCAAGGCAACCAGCTGGGCACCACCTGGTACTGGCCAGGGGGCAGGGGGGTGGGCGTGGGGCTGGTGCAGGGCAGGCTGGGCCAGGCAGGTGCCCACCGGCAGGCTGCCCCGGGCCACTGGGTGAGCACTGCCTGCGGTGTGGCCCTGTGGGCGGGTGGCAGCAGCGATTGGGAAAGGGCGGATGCTCTGAGCAGCCACTCCCAGGCAGGCACAGGAAGGAGAGGGAGGGCAGGAAAGGGGAGGAGAAGCAGAAGTCTCCACCCCAGGGATGGGCCCAACACCTTCCCAAGCAGCCCCCGTGCCCTGCCAGTCTCCCAGCCAGGGGAGGGGGTGGCAGAGCCAGGACAGGGGCAACACAGTGCCCAGCTATGGGGCTGACCCTGGCTGGATGCCCCAGCCAGGTGGGCAGCACTCTCAGACCTGGTGCAGGGGCTGCTGGGTGGCTGTCCCAGGGGCAAGGCAGGGCTCTGGGCACGTGGGCAGCTCGCAGAGGGGCATCCCAGGGGCTGCTGACAGCCAGGCTGAGCGTGCCCCCAGTGCAGGTGCCAGGCCAGGCCAGGCCCCCCCAGGCTGGAACCTTTCCAGGTTCGCAGCAAACCTCGGCTTTTTGGATCCAGCTGCTGCAGGTCTGGGCCCTGCTCTCCCAGCCTGGCCACCAGCACAGCCATGCCCCACGGCATCAGCTGCAGCCCCCCAACAAAGCCAGTCGCGGCTCCTGCCCCTGCCGCCGTGCGTCTCTGCCAGCCCACGCCCCTCCCACACCTGCGCCACTCCAGGCCGCGCTCCCCGCGCTCCCAGCGTTGCCAGGCACCCCGCACCCGGCGCTGCAGCCCTGCCATCAGCTGCGGGAGCTGGCTCAGACTGCTGCTGCCACTTCCGACCTGAGCGGGCCATTCTCAGCAGCCAGCATCTCTCCGAGGCGTGCGTCCCCTTGGCACTGCCCCAAAGCCTTTCCTGCAGCCCAGCTGCCAGGAGGGAGGGGGTAGGGGAGCAACTGCAGCCTCGGGGCCAAAGCCACACCGTAACCAGCAGCCCCCCCATAGCTTCCCTCCAGCATCCTCCCCAGGCCTGGGGGAGCAGGGCCCTGCAGTGGGGAGCAGCCTGCAGCAGCCAGGACCAAGGAACCCCTGCCACCAGCGAGGAGCAGAGGGGCCATTGCAGCCCAGGGGAGCCAGGCCCCAGGCTGGGCAGAGCAGCACGCAGGCACCTGGCTCCTACCTCGAAAGCCACTGGGGCAGCACTGGCAGGGCAGGGCAGTCACTCACCACGCGGCCATTGTGAACGCCCAGCAGCTTGGCCCGTCCCTGCATGCCGCGCACGGCCCCACGGGGCCTGTCAGCACCGGGGCTCGGGGCGCGGCCG